CCAGTCAGACCCACAACAGTCTCCTGCCCCCGCTTTGCAGCTTCTTCCCTGGCACTCCCCCCACTCCTTACTATCAGGTGCAGCTCACTTCCACATTGTGGTCAGGGAGGGAATAGGGCCTGTGCAGTCTGACAGTAAGGTGGGGTAAGAAGGCTGCAGTGGGAAGAAGGGGGGGGGGCAGAGGACCAGGGGGCCCCCAGCCACTATTTTCCCTGCTGTAGCAGTGAGAGGGGGGTGAACTCAGACAATCATTTGATTATTGGATTCTATACCTGGAAAAGTATAACTATAATTTTCCATATATAGAATCTAACTATGGGGGGATCATCTTATATTAAGTGTCATTTTATATTTGAGTAAATATAGCTTTAAAAACTGACTATGGTTAAATTTAGATAGGAAATGAGAAGCTTTCCAACTATCAGAGGGACAAAGGTTGGGAATGGTTTTGTAAGCCAAGTAGTGGGTACAAAAAGCCTAAATCTCTTTAAGATTGAATTGTTTATGGAAAGGATGGTATGATATGATAAGTGCTTGGTTTAGCAGTCAATGTGTGTACTATAAGGAATGATCCATTGATGGACAACATGGCAACCCCATGTTGGAGTGTACTCTAACTCCAACTCTCCTGCTCTATTGGCAGGTGTCTGGTAATCCCATGACTGGGCTTTTGTAGGCTGTAGGGGCCAGGAAAGATTTCCCCACCCCCTCCATGAATGCTACTGGCTTTGGGAGTGGGGGTGTTCAATTTATTTTGAAGCATTGGATTGCTAGACACAGTTAAAATGGGGTCTCGAACTGAAGTATACTGATACTCCTGCTGTTCTTAGAAGACTTGGAGATTCCTAGCAAGAAGGTCTTATTCTACTCAAAATCATAAGGATCACCAAATTTTCTGCCTTATAGTTGAGTGTAAGAGCACAAAGTGGCAATTTTGAGGAATTCTTGGTTAAATGGAAGCCTGAAAATGCAGGAGACTGGACTTGATAGCCCAGGAGGCCCCTTTCTGTGTAATCTTTTAACAGGGAAAAAGTATAATTTTTCATAGAGCCAAATGACAAGCTGTTTGCAGGGCTACACTTTTAAGACATTTGACAATGACCATTATAAACTGTTAAAATGTTTCAGTACCTCACAGATGAAAAAGTACATTTTCTGTGATTTTATTTATTTATTATAGGTTTTTTTAAACTTTCTTTGAAAAATTGCAGAAATCAAAGATTACCTTGTTTTTAGCTTGTTAGAACCACAGTTTAATCCAATTAATTTAACAAACATTTTGGAGTTTCTACTTTAGCGAGACTTCAGTTGAGGCCATTGAGCTACTGACTGTTGTCTGGTTGCAGAATTTCTTCTTTTGTGCCCTACATGTGTCACTTATACTTGCAGTATAATCTGAAAAGTAACGTTCAGAATTTGCACTAAGTATTGGCACTCAGACAGCCAACTGCAGTGCTTGTCAATTTAGGGAAACGTCTGAACTGAATTTCGATGATTGATTGAGTTCAGTTCTTGCATTTCGCACGTATAGGTTCCAAATATGTGATTGTCAACATAAGTCAAAAACTGGCAGACAGTTTGAAAGTCAGATTTTTCTGTGAGACATCAGTGACAACTGTGAAATTAAAATAATACAAACTAAAGGGATTATAATTTGAGTATCACATTTTTAGAATACATGCACTAATACAAATTGCTCTAAACAGTTACTGCAAGTAACTTCAGCTCATTGGAGTCGGGAATTAATCGTGCTTGTGTATACTTCATCTCCTTCATGCAATTTCAGTGGGAAGCAGAATTCCATTTTGTATACCTGAGAGAGGTGAATATCTGTTATTTTATTCTATTTGGTTATGTAGAAAATATGCATGAAGTACCCAAAGATACATTTAAATAAAAAAGTAAGAAGTGCAGATGCTTTGTTTGGCCTCTACTCTTTTTTCTCCATGTGCTCATTTGCTTAATATGTGTACTATTGAGGATGAATGACAACCATAAGGCATCCTGTAAGTGCAACACAAAAAAGTGCAGAGACACTTTTAGCTGACATTGCACTAGCATGCAAAATACTGGGCTGTTGTTGTAGGAAAGGGATGAGATTAAGAATGAGAAGCATTCCATTTTCATTGGAATTAAATAATCTCCCATGTTCCACTTCTGGAATTTGTAGGAGTTATTTTGAAACATTGGGATTTTATGACCTAGTTCTTCAGTACGTGTTTTATGAAACAGACTACTTGCTTGCCTTCAGGGTTATACCAACAATAATGCACACTAATTCCAAGCTTTAGTGTCCTAGTATTAAGCCTTCACTTAATTTCCTTGAGCCAAATTTTGTATCATTTTCCATTGATCTTTAGAAGGCCTGTTCACTCGCTTTAAGTTATGGGAAACAGCAGTCACAACTGAAGGCAGATATCAGTTTTGTTTAAACAAAAAAGTTATACCAGTTGGATACATTAAATAGACTTAATTTTTGCATTTCCAACTTGATTCCAATTAACTAATAATTGAATCCAATTAAATAATAAGTTTTTCAAGTTCTGAGAGATGTTTCTGTAAACTAAAATTATTTCTAACAGGTACACCAATTTGTACTTTATTTTAGATATGATTTTTTGCCATTTCTTGAAGAATCATTTTGATCCAAATGAAGGAGACTGACATAATACCAGTAACTGCTTTGTAGCATTTTCCACTCTGGATTCTAGGGGTGTGCGAACCAGGTCCTATTCGATTTGGATTCAGATTTGGCCTGAATCAGGGACAGTGGTTCAATTCATTGATTAGGATCACTGTCCCTGATTTGATTCAGCTGAATCCGAATCTGAAGATTTGATGCTGATTCAGAGAATCAGCGATTCGGACACAGACACAGCTTTAAATGTTTTTTCTACATACCTCAAGGTACCAGCGTGGCTTGTGAACGCTGTGATGCTGGGGCACATAGAGCATCCCACAGGAGTGCACCACGTGCTTAGCGGCAAACCCGGAAATGGACCAGAAGTATGTCCGGTCCACTTCCGGGTCTGATGGGGCGCGCACATGGGGCCCCCCCGCACCCCTCTGGCTCAGTGATCGGCTGTGGGGGGACCCTGGGTGCCACCCCCTAGCCCCAGGAGGCACCAGTCGCCAAGCCAGGGGGGCCCAGCATGCTCCCTGGTGGACCCAGAAATGGATCAGAAGTGCTTCTGGTCCACTTCGGGTCTGCTGCCGAATGCGCTGGGGAGCCCCCTGTGCTTCTGTGGGACACTCAATGCGTCCCAGCATCTCGCATTCACAAGCCACCTGCTACCTAGAGATATGTAGAAAAAACATTTAAAGCTGTGTCTATGTCCAAATTGCTGAATCTCTCCAAATTGATTCAGAAAGATTACAGGGTCTTCGGATTCGATTTGGATTCAGAGATTTGGCCACTGAATTGGGCCGAATCTCTGCCGAATTGAATCAGGGACTGAAGCTTCGCACAGCCCTACTAGATTCCTATTTAAAATTGCAATTTGTTTGTTGGTATCAGGAGAGGAGCTGGAGATAAGACTCCTCTTATCTAGAGCATTTTGATCTCCATTTCAGCGTTGTCTTTTGTATAAGTATGTCATCATTCTGATTTTCATTTGTTTTTAGACCAAGCAAAAAACATGTAGGTACAGGGGAGAGGGTGAGAAAATTCCATGTCCTATTATTTACCATATTTACCTGAATCCACAAAGATTTTGAATGTCAGATGAAGCCCCAGTAATTAGATTCTATACACGGACATTTATAAATTTATTAGAATTTTCTATGTATATAATTTAATTATTGGAAGGTCATCTTGTATTTGTACTGCTGTTGCTGTGGCAGGAGAAGCAACAAGAAAATACAGTATTATATACAGTCATGAAATGCAGAGCTTTCTCCAAGGTGATTAGAAATGGTACAGGACAAGGGCAGAGCCAGAGGGGTCCAGTGGGGCAGCTGCACCCCCTTTTTAAACTAGACTGCACCATGGGAGCCTCTGGAGACTTTTTAAAAATTCCCAAAGCATGTAAGAGTCCACCCTTCCCCTCCATGCTCAAATCACAGCCCCTCCTCCACCTGCTGCTGCTTTCATTGCTGTCCCAGGGGTGGGGGAAGTTTCCAAGACACTCCTGCCCATTGCACTCAGGCTGCATGGGGACTA